AATATGAATGCTTGGAGAAGGTAATCCACGTCTTCCATATTCACAAAGACAATTCTTCACCAACAGTATAATATCAGACTTTCGATAGAATGGATTTCCATGTATGGCATCGATAGCGACCCCCCCAATGGGATCAGTGATTATGAGCTCCGATAACCGCCATAACTCCGGTAAGAACAGCGAAGCCCTAATGACTTGTGTAATGTTGCCCAAAAAACGTCACCTGACACAAAATGGGATCCATTAGATAATTACTCTAATCCTGGTGATACATGCTAATCTTCAATATTGATGCTCGAAGAAGGTAATCCACGTCTTCCATACTCACAAAGGCAATTCTTCACCAACAGTATAATATCAGACTTTCGATAGAATGGCTTACCATGTATGGCATCAATAGCGACCTCCCCAATGGGATCAATTATTGTGAGTTCAGAGAACTGCTACAACTTCGCTAATAGCTGATGACTTCTGTAACGTTTCCCAAAAAATGTCACCAGACATCTTCCATGTTCAAAATGACAATTTTCCACCATCAGAATAATATAAGACTTTCAATAAAATAGACTGTGAGGGAGGTTGATGATACCCCAAATGGCGTCCTTTATTGGAAACTCAGGATAACTACTGTAACCATGGTGGTACATGCTAATCTTAAACAATGCAAGTCATCTTCCCTAATACTGCTGGAGATAGGTCGTCTCACATGTCCCATGCCCATGCTGACAATTATACGCCAACAGAACCATCAATAAGAAAAGGTTGCAATGTATGGCGCCGACGATCAGCTTCCCGATGACATCGATAACTGCGAACCAGGATATTTGTTAGCTTCCACGGCACCGTGAGGATAGCTTCTGCCAAATCTTTATGATAGTAGTACAAAGATTGAAAGCACCATGATGAAACCTATAATAGGGTACGCAACTTTGTAAAGCCTTTCAAATCAAGCTGTAAACACCCTTATCATGAGTCATAAAGGCTACGTATCACGTCGCATGATTGGAGAATACGAAAAACATTGGCCCTAGGGGGCATCATGCGTCCAAAGCGGCTGCAGCGACTCATGCGGCTGGAATGCAGCTGAGGACGCGTCAACAAATGCTGGATGTCGTCAAGACACGGCGTCGCTTCTCCTGAATCTTGGCTAAGGCACTGTCTTTAGTAACTATGCGCTGCGCTGATGAGTAAGATGGAAACACTTGGCTTCGCACCAGTAAAGGATTTTTAGAATTTGATTGAAAACAACATGTTGGGGCGCTTACCGGTTCCACCAAATGTACAGGTCATGCACCTCTTGCGCCTCGCGAGGGTCCTCCAAGAGTTCAAGGATCGAGGAAAAAAATCTTTCTGAATCGGTTATCATGTCTGTTCGAGAGAAAACTGGTGAGGAACACAGTGCGAAGCGAACCTGCCATTGTTAATCCATATCAGTGCCATTGTTGGTTCATCAGGGGCAAATTCGTAATCCGTTTCAATACGTACCTGTGTTGCAATGTATGCAATTGATCCGGCGGTAACACACCTCATACCGTGAATTCGCGCGTTTCCCGATCTTGTCGCTTTGGGTTCTTTATCGACTGAGCTTGGAGATGTAAAGACATGTTTAAAGGCCTGTGGGTCATCAAATTCGATCAAGTCGTATGATGTTCTGACTCACGTAAATTAAGAGCCTGTTGCGGAGCAGACCGTTCCATGGTTCTTCAGGATCGAAGTTGCAACCAGCGTAAAGAAAAATGGGCCACTGATCCCCGGTGACAAGCTGTTCGCCACTTCGCAGTCGCTCCTTGGTCCTAGGACGATGTCATTGTCAAATAGTTGTTGGATACTAACTTACTCACTCTGGATCTGACCAATCGAGATTCGTAGGACACAGAAGAGCTCCAGTACACTCATGGTGGAAACCTCGGTCGAGTTTCATATTTCGAGCCAGGGGCGGATTCAATGATTCACCCTTTGGTGTAATCCATTCGAGTATGGCGCCTTTCAAACTCTTCGTATCATCACCCCGAGCCCCGGAGGCACCTCTGCGAAGCTATGGAATGTTCAGTTTCTGTGATGAATGCCTGGTTCAGAAAAACAGCTGACAAGTTCTGCAATGAAACCAGTTTCTTCCTCGGATCCAGTCAACAGGCGCTCTTCTAGGCCCACAACAGATTGCAAGAGGGCAAGAAATATTTTGTGCTCTCGCCGCTCCCTGAATTGTTGGTATAGGTGAGATCAGAAAACAAATTGCAATGAAGAGACTACTCGGCGCTGAAGGATTCATCTGGCTGATCTGCTAGCTCTCCCAGTCGTAAGATACCATTGTTGATAAGTGTTCGGATGTTGCAGAACGCGTGGACGGTTCGACCGAAGTGACGGCCATGGTGTACAAGAGGATCTGTGACACCTCTGCGAATAGATCATTGTTAGCAAAACTTCACGCAGATGTAGAGGAACAGTGTACGGTTTCTTTCGGGGCCCTAGTTCAAGCGCACTGCAAGTGGTCCGAATTGCAGAGTTGCCAGGAAGAAGTTGCTGAGACGGGTCTTGATCTGCCGCTGGTGGCATGTAGTAGATATCAGAAAACTTACAGAAGAGCGGATCTATGCATACCAGGTTAAATATGCTGGATGCTTCGAGTCAGTGCGAGTCGTAATCATCTAATGACAAATGATATGTCGTAAAGCATCACCGTCGGGTCCCGGACAATTCAGAGAGTTAAGTACCTTCACAAAGATAATGTGCCAGAGACTATGATGATCAATCGACAGACGATTCCAATTGGTATTGAATTACTAATGGTTGAGTGGCGCCGCGAGTCAGGGTTCGCCCCTAAGACTCAGAACGACAAGCGGATCCGCTCAGCGTTAATTGTTGGAGATTGTTGGGTTGACCCTGACTGAGTGGTGTCCTGTCACCTCAAGATCACATCAAGATATCCGAATTCTAGATCCAAGCCGACTCTGTTTGACTCGGAGGTAGTAACAGCCTGAGTTATGCTAGTAGTTTATACAGCCCTCTATTGATTGCCTGCTCATCGCGATCGCCGATCCGCTTCGCTCCTTGCAGGCCACAAAGTTCTACTAGGGGCCAGTGAGGCATACTTTCAGGGGAATGCTTCTGCCAAACCATGTCACTAAGTTCCGGCTGAGAATTCGTCAGGGTTCAAGAGTCAGGGATCTGCGAGTGGTGACCTTCCGAATCAGTATAAACCTGACTGACGACCTAAGAGGCGGCCCAGTGCCGACCTGATGGCAGGATCTAAAAGATGGCTGATTCAACGTCACGTTGAACACTACAGTGGTGGCACAAGTGCAGAAGCCCCAGACCGCTGTCATGACGACGCAAGCTCAACCACAAATTCCACACCAACATGTTTGTGAAGGAAGATAGTGGAGATCCCAGCCATCACACGACTTCTAAAATTCTTGGACTTATACCCCCAGTCCTGAATCAACACCAACTGCAAAAAACCTTCAGCGACTTGTGTTTAAAGAGGTGATTACAATTTACGACTCCATGTTCTCGACCGCCACATTGTTGATTGCTGAGGGGATTGCATTAGCATTGGCCAAGCTCAAGACAACCCAGAGCAGAAATCTCCATCACTCGGGGAATGTGTCGAACTCGTCCTCTTTCAGACATTTCCATGCGATGTTCCAGAGAAACCAAGAGTTGGTGGAACGCTTCGAGATAACGTGGGAAGAAGGCAGAGAAGAAGAAGGATACCTCAAGTACTGGAGGAGAAATTCCTTCTCGGATACGTTCCACCAGTCTCCCAGCCTGGTGGAGGTAGTGGCGAGTCGATAGAGATGATTGAGTCTATTATTTCAGAGTCACAAACCTGACACCGTCCGTGCTCACCGCCATAATATGGTATCGGAGGTAGTGGCGAGTCAACGATAGAGATGATCTCAATTTCCAAAACAGTCAACACCATCTCGTATAGAATACACTGGTTGCCAACGTTCTTTGACGAATCTGTGTTTGCTGCCACCTATGTCTTGGTAAGATGCCATATTATTCAATTCAACAGAAAAAAAAGTCGCATACCTGTGCCAAGATGTCGTCCATCGCCTCACTGGCTTGCTCATCACACTTCCCAAGCAGCTGAGCAGCCGCACCGTAATTCCTGAGACATCATGTTCAGGGTTGTATGCTGTGGTGACGAGCGAATTTAGATTCCGAACTAGAAGCGGAACAGCCCAGGGCAAAAGATAGGATTGAATCGTCACATGGTATACCACAGGTAGCACAAATTGCTGAATTCTCCAAATGGTGCACATTTCAGCTGAGAGCAGGACACCATGAATGCAATCAGTGAAGAGCTTCTTGGCTTTGCTTGTGATGGTCTGCGATAACGGGTACCTTCTTGATGACCCGCAGAGCACGAAGAGCAGCCTGGATGTGTTATTATATAAGATCGCAATAGAGGTATGACGACCATACCTTTTTACGTATGTACATATTACTAGGTCCCAGAAGCTTCTCAGTTTCGCTAGCAAGATCAGGTAACATCGAGTCTTCAAACAAATGTGCACAGCACTCCTGCCAACAGCGTACATGATCAAGTGGTCCATACCCCTGAGGCGCATCAGGGATTGAGAGGCGCCAAGAGGACAACCAAACTCACCCTCCAAGGCGTTCGTGACCAATGTCAACACTTCCGGGTTCTGATCTAAGAATATCATGATATCAGGATACACAAGAGGCTTATCCAAAAAGCGCGGAGTCGCGACCAGTTTCAACCATTCTATTTGACCCAAGTGGGCAGGAGTGCCCAATGCATGGATGTAAAGCAGCTTCGCGATATTATTATGCCGTTGAAATAGATCATCTTCGCGAAAAAAGCGCAGATAGCGCCCGACTCTTGCTGGATAGCAAGTGCATGCTCACCGGCAACGGTCTACGGTTGTGTGTGATGACAACCTTGAAGTGTGATGGGTGTAGAGAGAGATTGCGCGAACTGATTGATGCCCTTGATCACTATGAATGAGGATTCCTTGTAATAATGGTCAAGTTCGAGTCGAAGCAGCCTTGAACAAAAACTATCGGCCTTGAACAAAAACTATCAACAGACTACGCTGACCTGTAAGAGCTGAAATAAGAACGAGGAGCTTGATGGCTGTGGGACAGCGGCGCTACCTTTTATCTGCATTGCGAGCGTTTCCACGTGGTCCTTGCAAGACGAAGTCACGGAAAATACCTCTTAAAGTGGATAATTCAGACCTCATTTGAACCCTCAACCAGAGCAGTATGGCCGCAGGGAAGGAGACAGCGTGTCACTTGTAGTGTCTTCTAGGACTGGTGGCTACCACTTTTATCATATAAAACAGGTAACTGCCTATAGGTCCCTGTGTATCCATCCACACTCTTTATGATAGGGAATCATTACTGTTACCATGTTTTTTCATTATCATAAAGGCTGCGCTTTTTCATTAAGTGTAGGCAAGGTTTTGGGCCTCCCTCATAAGGTAGCCTGTGGTTATCATTACCAATTTCATATCTTTTCAAAGCCATATCATTGCGATTTTCATTAGTTGTCTGGCGAGTATCATTGGATATTTCATTAGCTACATGGGTGATATCATTTTGCGATTTTCAATGGTTACTTTGGCAATATCATTGGAAATTTCATATGCTACTTGGGCAATATCATTGTGATTTTCATAAATTATGTGGCCAGTATCATTGGAAATTTCATTAGCTGGTTGTGCAATATCATTGGCAATTTCATTAGCTACTTGGGCGACATCATTGTGATTTTCATTAGCTACTTGGGCAATATCATTGCGATTTTCATAAATTATGTGGCCAGTATCATTGGAAATTTCATTAGCTGGTTGTGCAATATCATTGGCAATTTCATTAGCTACTTGGGCGACATCATTGCGATTTTCATTAGCTACTTGGGCAATATCATTGCGATTTTCATTGGCTCCTTTGGCAATATCATGGGAAATTTCATTGGCTACTTGGGCAACATCATGCGT